ACCTGACAGGAGCTGTCTGGACAAATCAAGAATTGTCTTTGGAAACAATTAGCTATGCATTACAGGCTCCAGCGCAGAAAAAAGCCTGTTCTGTATTCGCTGTGCAGCTCTCAGAGATTCCTTTCTGGTCTGGGTATATAAAGGTTAAGAGGGAAGCTCACCCTAAAATCTGCGTAACTGCAGAACTGTCCGTCAATCAGGGTACAACCCAAAGAAATTAATGACACTTGTTAGACTTAAAAATGTATCAAGATTAAGTCTAAATAATTACTGAAATGGACTGCAAGCTTTTACTTAAATTTCATCATTCAACACTATTTCATGCAATTCAAAATTATTTTCCATCACATTCAAATTTTTCAGCTTAATTCCCAAGTTTGATCCTTTGGATGTTGCTTCTCCTACTCCTTTCTATGCTTCATCCTTTGCCTCACTGTATCTTTCCTAACGGTCTGTCGTATTCCCAGGGGTCAAGCATTTGTGAATCTCTTTCAAGAAAATAAATCTTAATGAAATATTAATAATCTAAATGAAGCAGAAGAATTTTGAAAAAAACATCTTCCACAAAAATAATAAAAAAAAAATCATAAAATATACATTTTCCAGATGTCAGGTGGTGGAGATACACACATAGCATAGGAAGCATCGATACACCAAGTTCTATGACGGGATTTCTCTTTCAATTTTTTCAAAAAGCATATTTTTAGTTTATTCCAATCTCACTGAAACATCAGTATGTAATATAATGATGTCTTAAAAAAAAAAAAAAAAAAAAGGACAGGAAAAAAAAAAAAGATAAACTTCAAGACACTGATTCTAATAAACAAACCTGACTGGCTACCTATAGCTAACTTAAAACAAATGCAGAAAAGAGTTTTTCAGCAGCAAAAGTGTTTGCTTTTGAAGTACTTCTCCCCTTGAAACATTTCTACTAGCAAGAATGATACTGTTTTCTCATTACCAGAATCTCCTCATTCATCCTGCCTGGAGAGAGCGCTTTATACGAAGAACAAAGACAGGAATAAGAAGGAAGCACCATTAGAAATACTCATTCTCACTATCCAAATTAGCAAGAATTCTTTTATCCTTCCTAGCCCATTCTAAAATATCTATTTTTTTTCCAGCAGCTTAACAATAGAGGGTGAAGGGTGCTCTCATAGCTGTATATTGATAACATTCAAAATGGTCATGCATATTACAATCAGAAGCTTTCTAGGGTGCAGTTTGCAAAATAAGCCTTCATGCAGATAGGCATTCAGCTCATTAACTCCATTTCCATTTTTTCTATTAGTCCCTGAGAAATTAATACTTCTACCTAACATATGGCTATTAAAGGCATTAAAACCATCATACATTTAATTTTTAGGGATGGAAATACAATGCGGCTTTACGGAGAATTATCAAAGAAATTAGAGCAAATTAGTAAAAGTTAATATTTTTTTAAGATGTCTTCTTTGCATAAACAAGGTTGCCAACTAGCAGCATAAATGATTTTAGTCACAAATACAGAACTGGCCAGCATCACTTTTCCTTAATAAGTTGTTACGGTGAGTCCAAGACATTAGAGGCTCTAAGGCATCTCTAGTTCAGTGTTTCCTTTACATAAAATACTCTGGATTTTGACCTAGTGTCGTCATGATCCTTCTTTTAATTAATAGCAGGGCTTGAAGAACTTAAAAGAAAAAGGATTTTCTTTGCTTAAAAAAAAATCCTTTTTCCTGTCTAAAGTGGTCTCTTTAAATTGTTCAGAATTATAATTTGTGTGTGTGTAAACAATTTTCATTACTGCTCAAAAAACCATAATCTAGGGATCCCAAAACAACAAGAACACCTTAAAATTAAGACTTTGCAGAGCGGGGGTCTTCAAAGTTGGAGTATTGCAAACATACACAATAGTCTTGAGATTTTAAGTAAATTAATTTGTTATATTATATTTACAGATGATAATTTACAACCCAGCTACTGCAATAAGTTTTTAGAATCTTCTGTACATGGTTTATGTATCATGGAAAATTTTGGATTTGCAATGGGCATTTTTGGTTTTGCTTTTACATATAGTTTATTAACATGACTCCTACCACGCTGTTAAAAAGCTCTTACCTACCTCCACAAACATTTCAAATCTCTGTTAAAATTTGCTAATCACAGAGTAAACATCAAATCATAGGTATTCAACAACAGATAAACTCTACAGATTTTTTCATGGATGATCAGAAAGCCTTTCTCTCTTGGGACTTATTTCTACTTCTTACTAAAAGAACACTTTTGTTCTTACCAAAAGAAATCCAGTAGCATTTTTCTTTTTTTTTTTTTTTTTTTTTATCCCATTAAGATATGGGATCCTGATTGCCTAATCAAGGTCACTGCATCTATAAACACTAATTTATGTTCTCAGAGCATCACTGATACTTTAGCACTAGTTTTTCTGGATCAGAGGGAAACATACATAATCAACATCATTTGCTGATCAGAAGTGATGAATATCAAGTGGGTATCTAACTTTCACTATTCAAGAAGGGTGGGAATAGATAACTTTTTTTGCAGGAAATGCTGAGAAGCTGAATAGATTAGTCCAATGCAAATATCCTATCTCCTGGAAGTTCTAATAGAGCTTATGACCTGATGGAACTATTCAACATTATACTTTGTCAACTGGACAAAAAAAAAAAGTTAAGACATGTCTTCTTACTAGCATATAAGATAACAAAATTTAGACATTTCAAAAAAAGCAACCAATCAAAAAAACCCAAAACAAAGAAAAATGCTACTGGATGCTGCAGGCATTAAATGGATGATTTAAGGTTTTACTATATTTTAGCTTCAATCTGTAAAAGTTGAAAGCTGTTGTGTAAAAATGTTTTATAACATTCATACTACATGAGTGTACTACCTCAGCAGCAGAGTAACATTTTGGAGAGCAGGATTCATCTACATATAAAGCAGATTTCCCACATTGCCTGATAATACTCAGGTAACGCTGATTTCTGTTGCAGTGAAATATCAGGAATCCTTTCAGAGGCAATTACATAGGCCTCCTTCCTAAGGGATTAACACTTTATTTGCTCAAAAATTCTACTTCGGCCACCTATAGTAAAATTCTTAGAGAGTAGGTGATAGTTAAACACTAAAGTCAAGCAGCGGACAATGGATGCACCTAAGCAGACAAGATCTTCAGCAGCACTATCACTCGTGCAGGGGGTTGGACTAGATGACCTCTAGAGGTCCCTTCCAACCCTAGGCATTCCAGGATTCATTCTATGTGGAAGTCTCCCTAGAGAAACGCTCCCCGCAGAGCCCGGGGCCGCCCCCTGCTCAGACGGGCCGCAGAGGCGGCAGGTCGGGCAGCGCTGTGAGGAGGCTGCGCGGCCACGAGGCCGGCGGGGAGAGCCCGAGCTCGGCGCTACGCAGCGGCTCGGATTTTGATAAGAAAGTCTAGGCTCGGTAAGGTTCAATACTTAATTTATTGAAAACTGGCACTTAAAAGAAATCAACATTTATTACTGGTCAGCAGTGTAATTACCGGTTATTATTTCTGCTCAGTCTCCACCTCTGCGCTGTGCCTCCCACCTGCATGACCTCAGCTGCCACCAAATCTAAGGCTTCTGGCCCACTTCACAGGCCAGAATTGGCCAGAGACTAACTAGCACTTCTGGGGGAAACGAGGATTAACTGCAGACACACTGACACTAAGGGAGAGGCTGAAATTGATTAAAAATCATAACCACTTATTCCGGGGAAGAAACTGTTGTAGGATCCAGAAGACTGAATCTCAAACTGATACTAATTAATTAAAATATATATATATATTCAATCAAGCAAAGCAACAGACTTGTAGGCTTTTACAAAAAGCATAACTGAGCTATTCTCAAAGTAAACATCAGGAGCCCACACACAAAAACTGAGCAAAGAATGATTTTGGGGAACAGATACAGAGGGCTTAGAACAAGGAAACTTAAAACTTTCTAGACTGCTCCTACTGTCAAGCATTTAGGAATATGATACTCACTAGAGAAGGTTTTACAGAGAGTATTTTGAAGACATAGAAAAATAGTTCACAGCATCAAGGTACCTGTAATATACTACCTTGAAATAAAACTTGTATTTAAAAGATTAAAAAGAGAAGGTTATTCTTGTAGTGGTATCAACTCGTTATTCATACAAATATTAAGCAGTTTTTCATATATTCACATTATTGCTTGCTAGCACAGCTGTATAGGGAACATACTCATAGCTTACACTAATGTTCATGTACAGTAATTTTAGAGACATAAACTTAAAAATATGATTGAATAGCAAATAAACTATAATGTGTACAGATTTGTATAACTAAAATATAACTAGAAGAAATACTATACAACTGGCCTGACCCAAGTATATATCATATATCCAGTTTAAAAAAAAAATCTTTACAGTTGTACAGAAAATAAGCTTTATAAACCAAAATGAGCAGAATCAAGGGTGCAATAAATATTTATCTAACACATTCAAATTTACACTGTTGTCCAGTGTACCCTGCTTTGATTACTTTGATTCATGGCACCTCCATTTGCATCTGGAACTGTTCAAGATTTGATCTAAATTGTTCAAGATTTCCCATATTAACTTTTTTTTCTGCTTACGTGGCTTAAAAAAAAAAAAAAGAAAAGAAAAGAAATACCCTTGAAAGATCTTCTTGAAAAATAAATTTAATGGAAGAAATACTTAAGCACTCCTGCATTCAGGATCTGGTAAACAGTAAGATAAAGCTGATACATGGCATTAGCCTGAATTAAAATAGCTACATTATAATCTGTAATACTAGCATATTTTTGTGATCCTGAGCTCTACTGGCAGATGCATGCAATTCTCTCTGCGATTCTTCTTGTCTGAATAAAATAATTCTATTTTTCATTCATTTACCTTTAACTTTTTCAGAACCAGCTGAGAGGATTTCTTCATGAAAAGCACAAAGATTTCTACCAATGTAATGACATTTGCGTTCCAAAAAACAGTTTCAAAAAGAACTTTTCCTCACCCTCCTGATGGAAATGGCTAGGCAATATCCCAAAAAGAAACTGAAAATATTTACAGCTGACATGTCACTGACAAAAATTTACGTAAATCATAGAAGTTACTTCAAAAACATAAATTAATAATTAAAAGGACTTGCACAAAGTACAGTCAATCAGTTGTGTCATTTTGGGGTAAAAAAATATCTGCTCACTTGTAGACCATTTTCAGCTGTGTATTTATAGTTATATATATATATGTACACACACGCGCGCACACATATAAAAGACTTCGAAAATCAAGATACATTAACAAACAGAAGAAATAAAAGTAATAACTTAAGTAGTAGTTAACATGTGCATGAAATGACTTTTGCAAATTTTGACCAAACGCACTTAGGACATGCTCTTATTTAAAAAATAAGAAAAAAAACAAAAATAAACAAATAAACAAAAAAGAATGAAAACACCACAAGATTCTGTAGAACCAATGCTATGTCACCACCAGGAGAGCACCAAGCAAGGCACCATTGGAAAGACAACATACTTGGATAAGTCTCTATAAATAAAGTAAATGCTAATCTGGTCGAAAAATCGGTGTCTTTGGTAAAAATTCTATAAGGATGACCTGTATAAAAAGAAAACAAATATATATTAAATTGAAAATAGCAGAAAAACTTATTATCTGAAGTCTATCACAATGAAAATTCCCATTTTCTTTTTTTTTTTTTTTGGTCTTTTTGGAAGTATGTCAAATTGCAAAAGAGAAATGAATGACAATCGGTGATCACAATACTTTCCTTAAATTGGAGACAACTAGAAGATCATGTTGGACTAAGCTCAATTTAGGGCAGAAAAAAACTCTAAATATTAAATAATCTTTAGCAAAGTTCACTTATTAAGCAAAACTTACAAAAGAGATGAAGGTATTCATTTAAAACAACGAAAGGGAAAACATTTTCAAAGTTAATTTTCAAACACACCTCTTTTTATTAAGTAGAGTTAACGTAATTCTACTTCAATTTTTAACTTAATTTAGGACTCTAAATCATGTTCATTGATCTGAAATTCTATAGAAAGGTATATGTTAACTACTGCAAAGTTCTTGTATCAGAAAGACTGGCAGGTAGCTAACAAGATGCTTGACTAGTGCTTCCATGTAATTATTCTTCAAGTCCTGATTCTAATTTAAATACTGATTTAGCATTTAGCAAGCTGTCTACATGCTGTAGAACAAAGTGAAGAATAAACTCCAAGTATATAACCTAAGAATACAACCTAAGTCCTGCTTTGTATTTTAATAGGTAGCTTATCTAAAATGCTCTTTCCTATTTTCTCTCTTCAGTGAGAATCACAGAAATACCAATATAGCTGCATGATCACAGCCATTAAAAAGAAATGCAACTGATAATATGGCTAAGCTTTTTATATATGTAAGGGAGTTTGTCTTTCAAATAAGTTAAAACTGTTTTTTGACTGTAAAATGTTTTATAAATTAAAATATCTTATTTACAGATAGCTGGCAAAAAAAGAGAAATGAAACAAACTTGTATTTTAGCAGGCAGATTAAGGTGACAAATGAAAACAGCGTATGTGCTTACAGGATAAATGCTTTTAATTATGACAGCATCTTGAGAAATGAAAAAAGAAAAGAAAGAAAAAGGTTTGATCTCTGAGCCCAACACTCTGAAACGCTGAACCTCTGAATGAGGCTCTTCAGGCTGTGTTTTTGCACCTACGCAGAAGTGCCTTGATTTCAAAGTGCTGCAAATTCCTTGCACTCTCCTGGCCATGGATGTGAGCTGATCATCACACGTCACCAGTGCCCTGGTGCACAGGGCAGGTTAAGGAAAGGGAGGGCGAGGTAAAGCTGCACATCTGTGTTTATGCCAAAGGAGTCACAGTATGAAATATTGCATACTGCGTATCCTCTGCAGCACTGGATATGGAACTTCAAGTGAACAGAGCACCAAGCTTTGGGTACAAGAGCTCAACTTAAAGCACTCATTTTGGGGGAAAAAAAAAAAAAAAAAGAGCTATGGGTTTTTATTAACTAAGCCATGAATACAAATCAAAGGCAGCTTTAAAGGGACTAGAAAATTAAATAGCTGAAAATGCTGCAGAAAAGTTTGGTTAAAAAAATCATTAAACTGCTCCAGAATGCTTACTGGCATTTTACAAATTAAATATTAAACAAAATCTTAGATCTTGATCCTGTAAAACTATGAGACAATGCTTTCATCTTATTAATGCAAACAGTTCAACTGACTTTAAATCTAATTTAAGTAATGAATATTTATTTTAAAATGTTCCCATTGTACAGTTTGGCTGTACTCCACATTGTATTTGAAAACTAGCACTTTATGTTTTGCTTCAATTTAATCCTCAAAAGATTTGATGCAACAAAATTATCTGGAAATACATACATGTTAGGTGAAAGAAAAAACACTTCCACTTAGGTCAAGCTCAAAGCAACATACTGAAATTATCTTTATTTTTTTATAGTGATACATCACACATCTATATTATTTTTTTTAATAGAACAGATACTGATATGAAAAGTCTATTTATTCAGTGAACTGAACAGAGCTGTAAAAGGGGCATTAAAAAAATCTTATATTTAAGGCTAGAAACAAGACCTAGTATAGAAACAGAAAGAAAAAAAAAGCAGGGAGGAGGGGAAGGTTAGCACAAGAAAAAAGGATTTTAAGACAATTTCCAAACTCTTAATCACACTCATTTTTATATACTATGATAGCTTAATTATTTCAAAGAAAAGACAGCATATTACATAATGAAAGAGTAGAGATAAGTTGGAAGTAGATATATCTACTAGGTATTTCTCAGGGTTTAGTCTTTGTTTTGTAAAAGTTAACCCCTTCCTGTTTCAACTTCTTAAAGTTTTAAAGCAGTTCTGCATATTCTACTGTGCCTTACAACTTAGTATCTAAATTTCTTTCTAGTTAGTACCCTTTGCTTTCTTTCAAGAGATTTTGAAAATGGAAATATAAACAGCAACAAAAAAGGAAGAAGGAAGCCTGCTAAACAAACTGAAAACCCACATAAGATATTACTCATTTCAAACTACATGCCACTTCCCAGTGTATATTTCTAAGAAATATGGATTTTTAATGGGATCTCAGCCAAGACTGACATCTTATTTTATTTCAGAGACTGACTTAAAAATATTTTAGCCACACCAACTAGAAAAAAAGATGCTTTCTAAATAGTTGAGGTAAGGAGCAGCTAAAATCTGAAAAGGCTAAAGGTTTCTTAAGCTCCAACAGCTTAGTTGAAAGGTCTTCTTCCATACTTTTAGACTTGATTAGCATTAGATAAAACAGCCATATCTGACTTGCTGCGTAACCAAAGTTGTGGTTATTCTTTATACAGCATCTAAAATTTCACACTCCATCAACACATGTTCAAGCTATTTTATCTTGGCAATTAATTTATTATTTTTCAGAACACAGTGAAGCCTTGTTTTCAAGTCATTCATAACTTTATAAATCAGTCCTACACATGAAACCATGCATCTGTGAACCGTAGAAAATCCTTGCACTCAGGCGATTAAGCTCCTGACACCTTTACTGATTAATAATCATGAAAAGAATAAGATCAGAAGCAAAATAAATGATCATTTAATAGAGAAACTCACAAAACAGCCCTTTAACTTACATATTCCATCATGTTATTCGTTTCACATTTCCTTTTGCTTAGTCTCCAATGCAAGCACAGCTAGACAAGGAGGAAAGAAAAAGAAGAAAAATGAGCTGTATTTTATTGCAGCACACAGACTAGCCCATTTGTCCACCTTTCATATTTTTCGTTCAACAAAAGCATCTGTTTCCATACTGTGCAATTCAAACTCCATCAGTACGAAGCTGCTCCCCGCAGCACTCACCTTGTGGTATAACCTATTGTTTTCCCATTCTAATAACTTCTCAATCGATCTTCGTGTCTGGAAGACAAATGAGAAAGAATTTTACTCTTGACTGGTTTTAGAAAAACTTTGTTTTGCAGCTGCTTTTGTGTGAAAAGGGGAGAAGTACAGGACAGTGACTGAGTACAGGGTGGTCTCTAGCACTAGCAAAACTTCTGGCATTAAATAGTAACCAGAACAGAAACAAGCCCTTATGGTATGCTAAAAAACAGCTCCAAATTGGGTGGAAAAAAAAAATGTAACCATTTTGAAAAAGCTGCTCACATATATGCTACTGTTCTTTTGTAGCAGTTACAGCTTTGAAATCTCTTACACAACAATTTCCAAGTGATCTAAGTATAAATGTAGGAAAGCTGCTCCCTAATATCAGTGGTCCAAACACACTGCTGCTTTGCTGCTTCAACAGACAAATGTTGCATTTTGCAGTGCTGCAGGTCAAGTACACACGTATGTAAGACTCTGTTGGAGCAAACAGAAAAATAACATTTTGTTATGTTCATATCCAGATTTTAGAGAGGCAAATCTATGTGTGGAAAGTTACAGGAACATGTTCAAATTAGTATTAAAATAAAAAATCTAATTTATATAAAGAGAAATCTAACACGTACCATTCTAAAGCTCCGAAGTTTCAACTGCCTGTGTTTGCCAGAGAACTCCGAAATCTTTCCTTCAAAGCCTTTTAAGGCCACGCATGTTAGTATTAAAGAAGGACATTCTTCGCTGTAAAGTCTCAGAACATTTTCAGGATAATTATTCAGTTATATTTACATTTGAGAAATACATTCTGACATTTATGGTCATTTGACTGCCAGAATATATACTGCTTAGCTCTAAATGGGATTTGCTACTGACTCTGAATAAAAAGAGGATAATTCATGGTGCCAGGTGTTAAGATGAGACCAACAGAGCTGCAGGTGCAGAAGGACAGAGCAATGACAAGGATCAAATACAACTTACTGCAGCTGCAACTTCCTTACAAGGCATGGAGGGGTGAGGGGAAGGGATGAGAAAGCACCGCGCTGGTACCGCTACAAAACACGAGTACTGTAAGTGAACATTAACAAATCAAAATAAACGCTATTTCGACAAACAGGAGTGTCTGAAGAAAATAAAAATTAGGTGGCACGTTATTACCGTCCCGCCAAATATCAGCATTTCGGTTTTGAAACGCCAGTTGCTCTCTGGCTTAAGCCCGAAGCGGCTGCGGGGAAAGATGTCTGAGGACGGTCGGCGGTCACATGACTAAAAATTAGATCACTGCCATCTGAGAGCAATCATTGCATCGCATTTTTATTACGTTGTATTTTAAAAAGCATAAGTCAAGGCATCAGAGGGTGCAAGGAGACCAGGGCCAGTGCCTAATTTATCGCAGCAGTTTTTGGAATCGAGTAGTTTGGGCGTTATTGTTATTATTATGTTTTTAAAGACAGTGCCCTCTAACAATAATCAGCAGACCTCACTTGTTTCTTTGTAAAGATAGCCTTTTAGAGTCCGCTCTCCTTTTAAATGAAAATAGGGCAGCAGTTATGGTCACACTTTTGTTAATTTAGTTGCCAGTCAGCTCCAAATCAAAAGAAAATAAGGCTGCAGAGTGTAATTAACATTCAGTTCAGTCGTTTTGTCCCTTGTCTAGCCCCCAAGCTTTGTTAAAATTGCCATCTGAATGCTGAAGGCTGCAGGGAAATCGATTTGATTCTAATCGCACCATGAAAAGAACATGATCTAACTGCTTTCAGCCCTCCGTAAATCTGTACTAGGTCTTTAGCACAATGCAACTTCCAATTTAAAAAGCACTGAATGTCTCGTCAATGACTTTGTGAAGAAAAAAGAACAAGGAGCAGACATAAAAATTCCAATAGTTGTTTAAGCATTAAAGTTCATTTGCATCACAGCAAACCTGAAAAGGGCTGACCTCTCAAACCGCCTCTCAGGTCTATGAAGTTGTAGCCTTGACAAGCTCACATTGACAGAGCTCATTGACTCTGAAAGGCTACTCTATCAATGGTGAAAAATGGCAATAGGTTCTACTCTGAGCAGGCATCTGCCTGCCCACCCGCTGCTAAACCAATGGCAAAACTGATTCAAAACCTGAATCTACCTTGTAATCTTCCTTGCCAGGACCTTTTAATAATAGATTAAGATCACTATACAATTTAATTTCATTGTTTGGTAAAAAGAGTGTGGAAAAACATCTAAGCTTTTCAAATTCCAATAAAATTATACCTATATTACAACACATACACCCACATAAGAAATTGATCGGTAGCTATGGAGTATTAATAGGTTTATTTAAATAATAATCCAGTTTAAAGTCATTCTAATTAGTACGGTTTTGACTAGCATTAGATAAAAACACATGTAGCCTCAAGCCTATGAGTATTTATGTAGCAAAGCTACACTGCGGTCCTTCCTTCAGCGTGACTTAGGATATCTACAATTCCCAAACCGTGACACTTCGCAGATGCAAAAACATTACTGAAAATCAGACTGTAAAATATTTCTGCAAACCTCAGTACTCAGACTAAAGAGAGATGAATTAAACAGCATCGCACAATTCACTATAGTAAGTTTTCTTCCCACTTGACAGGTGAAAAAAAGCACATGCACGTGCAGCTTAATTAATCACTGCTCTTGACATCTCAATGATTTACAGTGAGGAGCAGGTGAGGACATACAAAACCAGAAAGCAGCACTTGATGTGAGAGTAGCATTTCCAGCACACTAGGATGACAAGCTTATATATTCTATCAATGGTGTACAGAAGAACCTATACAGCAAATTACGTGTTAGCCACAACAAAAGCACAAATTAAGTGGAAGAGAGCCTTGCTTATTAAGAAGATTTAATACGATCCAACTTTTAATTTTTTTTCTTTAAAAAACCTACAGCAAAATTTGAACAAACCGAAAACCTAAAACTGCAATTCAAATAGACTTTTGTTAGCACACCACAGATAAGAAAGTATGTTCTGTATCATGCTCAGGGAAAAATGCACATGGCCTTTAATGTCCACTTGACAAAATTCTATGGATAATTTCGCCAGTGAACTGTATAGATGTAATGTTTACTGAAATATTTCTGAAAAACGACCATTTAAAGATGCTCGTGTCAGACAATGTCTTTTGAAAAATTCCCTACTGGGCTACCAAAAAAGCACAACTGCGAATATGTGTTTACTAATTCACACTGCTCCCAAATAAGCCAACTAGTTTTGCATTCAGATGTGAAAACAAAAAATTAGCAAGACTAAGCATGAACTTGTCATGCACAAACACGACAGTATCGAATACAAATGAAGCGCTGTCTGCACCAGGAAATACAAGATCTTTCTTCTGTCTTTGCAGAATCAATCAGGTGAGGATGCATTTCCTGATGCAGTCCTGATCTGGACAGAGGGGCCGTGTGGACACGTGGCCTTCTTGCAGCGTGTGACCTGGAACCTACCAGCAACACCAAAACCAGCACCGATGACGAGGCTGGAGCCACCTCAACTCCTGCTTTAAGTCAGTAAATAACTGGTAAAATACTAATGTTAAACAAAAGTATCTTACTATGACTCTCCAAATGATGCTAACTTGAGTATCTCCGTTTGTCTTTACTTCAATGGTAAAACATAGCATGAATAGTAGTAACGAATAGTATTAACACGATTCTCTACTACCGTTTTTTAATTTCATAGTCTTCTGGGAACAACAGAAGAATATCTCTATATATCCATATGCTTTTTGACTTTATTGCAGCACTAGTCCAATAAACAGTGCATGGAGACTTTCAAAATATTTTATACAAATCTGTACCACAATCAAGCAGTAATAAATTTGAATCTTGCAGTGAAAAAATATACTTCATGCTCAAATTTCAAAATACAAGGAGACTGATTTAAACAGGTTTTGTTGATCATCAGATGGTCAGCATTTGTGTTAAACTATGAAAGCAAGGCCCATGATCTTATCAGTACTTGAATTATGCCATCTACTCTCTCTTAAAGAAAGAAACAAGGGAAGCTGGAATGTTATGTTTATTCTTCAAACAAATATATACTAGTCTACAAAATATTTATCCGAGTAATTTAACTAGCAGTACAAATAATGAAATATAAAGTTAATAGATAGCTGGGTCACACAACGGTATGCAGCATGCCTGAACATTCCCCATAGTATCTCTCACAACCAAATGCTTTCAAGTCTGAAAACACCAAACCCACAAATTAATAGCATGCCTATACAGTTTGCATGAATTCGATATGAAGTACTGATGACCTATATTAGCGCAAGAAATGTACGTGAATATGCTTTAGACTAAGCTTGGAAGAAAAAGGTCTTGAATTTGAGCAGGACAGTATCACTAACAATTGCTTCTAGCACTAAAATATGCTTTGTACAGTGTTCAGACTGGGCAGACAGAGATATGTCGATATATATTTCCAGGGCTAATACTGGTGACAGAAATATAAGAGTTTAACTGGAACGCACACAACAATTACAGATGTCTTCTGCTGCGTTGAGACATTCTCTGCCTTGAACACTGTATCACAAATAAAACCTTTCAGAAAGTGTAAATTGCTAAGATTCCCACCTGACTGAGGCATTATGTGTTTGTGAAAGATGACAATGACACAGGGGAAACCTGGACTGATTTCCAAGTCCTGGAAATCAGTTGAATAGCTGCCTCAGCATCTACAGTGGTTTGAAGGGAGGGCTACTCTTTTCAAAGGAGGAAGGATGACACAAGATGCGCCTACCTATTGCAGTTAGGACATTTATCACTAAAGACTAGTGAATGTGTGCTCATCCCAGGAACCATGCAGCATCCATGCAAGAAGGCAAGTGAAACCCAGCCAGTGGATTGAAGAAAATATGGAAATAAATGGACCATTCTAGTGTTCTTCGTAAGAAACTGGATTAACTACCTCATCTAACAGATTTATTATTACTGCATCTTTTCTTACCTCTCAGATGATTCTAGGCAGAAAATAAGCCCAGAAGAAAGCACAAGCCAAACTTCCTCATTAGGCAAAG